TAGAACTTTCGGCGCACGAGCTGCGTGGGCGCACGTGATGTGTGCGAGTTAATTCGCAAACGACCTGATTTTAAAGCGCGCGCGCACTCTCGTAAAATACGGGCCAATAACACAATGCGGTAATAATTATAAAATAATATACACTCATGAGACAAAATATTTTTTTTATTGAAGTCCAATTAGCGTAGAAAAAGAAAAAAGAAAAAAGGCACATTCCCCTAATATCTTCATACAATATGACGAATGCAGGTGTTTAGGCGCATAATAAACACACACACGTTTGGGCTAGCGGTGAGTAGTGGTTTGCTTCGTATAAAAAAAATATAAATATAAAATATTAAATAGTATACTATATATAAGCTTAGAATAATTGCGTTCATAATAGTCGGCACGACAGTGCCCTAATCATTCCTATAGATTCATAAAGTCTCGTCGCACTTTTAGCAAAAATCGCCTCGAGTTGTCTGTATAATAATATTATATTTAAATGATACATTACGATATCAGAATATTATTTTATTCAAAAACACAACTCGATAGGCGTATGCGCGCCAATAGTAATAATAATAATAATAATAATAAATTATAACCATATAAATAACATACAGACGTATTGCGACCTAGTTCTCGTCGTGTCGTTTCTTATGGTTAACGCAATGGTTATGATAATAATAATAATAATAGCATATACATATACATATACATATTGATGAATACGCGACTCATCTCGGATGCGCGCGCGAACGGTAAAACCTACCATCAGCGTCCGCAGACGACTTATACAATAACGTGGGATCGCGAGTTGTAATAACTGCATGCATTTTTCGACTTAATTACACGATATAAGAGTAAGCGTACGTATAACACTGACCATCGACGGTATTTGTACATGCAATTCATTATATTTGTAAAAAATAATATAGACAAAACTACATTTGTCATCGCCGTTCCTCTGGCTGTTAAGTATTCACCATTATTAAGCGCAGTGAGCGATTTTTATATTCAACGATTCGAAAAACATTTCGTGCGCATCCCTTCGGCAATACACCAAATTGTTGATGATCACCTTTTTCTCGAACAAATGAAACGTATAATGTTCAAAATAGTCTTTCGAATAACTGTGAATAACCTAGTCATGGAAAAAGTTTTGTCCTTAACATCTGTAATCGTACATTGGTTTGTTTTAACAGGAAAAATATTCATTGAAATCAAAAGGGAAACCCATAAACTGTCTTCAACAGTTCTTTATTTTGTAAATCGTCAATTTTTAAATTACGAATGTTATTTCCAATATAATACACCCTTATTGTATAGTATTGTATAGTTATTGGACATACTATATATAAACAGAAGGAATTCTATAACTACGTTGCACCGAATTAGTAACATTTTGCTAACTAAAGGTAGTTTTGATAAATTAGCTTGTTTAACCGATACATTTCGATTAGAAGAATTTATTTCGTTATTGCCCATGACAATTATTCGGTAAGAATTTAGACAGTTTTTAATTTTCTTACATTCAGAAATAGGAATATTAATTTATATTATTAATGAGATTTCATACTTTTCATATTGCGAGGAATTCTTCAAGCCTTAACTTAACTAAAAGATGAAAGTCCACGGAAAATAAAAAACGGGCATGAAATCTGAATTATCCAAATTTAAATCTTTAGTTCTTAACCGGATTTGCCGTAGTTTCTGGATTATCCCGGATATATGAATTTGCTTTTTATACAATTTATACATATTTTTAATTTTTAGTAAAATAAATAATTTTATTGTAACAACATATTAATATTAAGTTTTATGAATTTCAGTATTCTTATAATGATTTAAACAATTTTTAAAAATTATTATTAGTTAACAAAATAACAATTATTATATTGTTAAATTTTTTCTATACCTCTATGACTTACGGTGATAGCATGAATGAACCTAATTAACTAATTTTAACTTCATTACCTTTGAATGGTTACTGAATAAACTTTTGAAATTAAGATGAGTTAAATTTATATTACAATACAATATAGGAATGATAGAATAATAATTGTTATCGATTTATTTACACGGACAAGTTTTCTTACAATTATTAAATAAAATGTGAGTCATCGAATAGCAAAATTAAATAATCCGGATAATCCATGAAATTCGGATTTCCTAAATGAATCCGGATAGGCCAATCATTAAAATTAATAGACTCGTAAAATAAAAACTTTTATGTCTTCAAATGAAATAGCTAATATATATTTAATTTGGTTTTAAATTATCGAGAACAACTGCACTTAAGTGTTACTTTTTTTTTAATCGATCTAAATTACTTCGGTTACTGTTCTGTTTAGTTTCACTTTTTTTTTTTTAAAAAAAAAACTTTATTATTGTATCTTTGTATTACAAATATTACTGTTAAACATGGTTAATTGAAATCTAAATTTGTATTGAAATTGAGTTGTTATTACAATTAGAGTGAGGTTTTTAATAGTGTTAAAAGTACGATTGATGTTGTGCTTATATTTTTGAAATCTAATACTACATGATACATAATAAGTTATGTGATTATTAGAGCTCAAAAATGCATGCATTTGAATGTTTTTACTGAGTACATTAAAAAGTTGCTGAATGAGCTACAAATTTGAATCAATACCTAACGAGTTCAAAAATTAAATTTTAGTTTACATATTTTTATTTAGTTTGAGGTTTTTTACATAAATATACATATTTTAAAATAAAATTGGGTTTCACATGTGTTATTATTATTATTTTTTTTTATTAATATTTCATGAAAATTTTAGACTTTGAAGAATATTTCAAAACATATATGTTAAGAACATGTTTTTATAAAAACGTCGCCAATATAAAATATAAACCTGTTTAAAATTATACGTCGCACTTTAATAATTTAATGTTAAATAATTTATATCAACATAGCATTTTAAAACAATAAAAAAAAGCGTTTAATATGCTTGATGCTGATGATGCCGTGGCAATTGATTAAGTAAAAAGAATTATATGTGATAAAAATGTTCAATCAAATTTAATTTTTATTCACACAAACTATGGTTTCTTATCATCAGCCATTACCCGCTTAGAAACTTAAGGAATACTTAAAGCTGAAGCAATTCAAATTGTAGATATTGTCATAAAGAAATTAAAGTTCCAATGTTTAAAAAATCATGTCCAGTGCCGAATTACCCATTACGCAGAGTAGGTGCTCGTACCCATTTAAAGGGCCCTGTGAAAATGAAAAACTATTTTTTTTTAATTCAATAATACCTGTATTATATTTACGAATTTACGGGACAAATGTCATTATGAAATGTAATATATAATACATCGTAGGTGTTATATGTAGTAATAATAATAAAATTATTTTGAAAAAAATTGAAACAATGTAATAATCGAGTAATTTTTCTTGCAAATAAAAGAATTTAATAAACACGATTTTATTCATTAGCAATAGTTAGTTATATTTAAAGCTGTTTATTTTAACTGTTGGATAGTAATATTAAAGATATATGTAAAAAATAATTTTGTAGAGTCCAAAATTTTAATCGCCTAGGGACCCACAAATGTTTAATCAGGCACTGATCATGCCAGAAGAACAAACAACAACAGATAGCTTTAGAGAAGAACTTAATATGAATGACTTCATATATTTTAAGTATATGCCAATTTCTTATGTTGATGTAGAATGGGAGCTATTCGCTTTATAAAAATATGTTGGCTGATAATCGCCATTCATTTGTAATAGAAAACCTATCGAAATCTCCAGTTTTAAATTGTAATTCTTGAAGTAAATGCAACATATATCTTATTAATTAAACTGTGCATATTTGTCTCCATCTTATAATTATTATTTTTATCAAAAATGAAAAAACTTAACGTAAAATTTAAAAACAGTTAAGTGCATATTTAGCGTATATTTTAATTATTTTAAGCGCATATTTCGAGAGTTTTTAGTGCATGAATTTTGGGCCCTAGTGATTATTATATCATGCTATAATTATTTTATTGGGTTATAAAAATTATTACATATTATTTTCGATGTTTCGACTTTATTTATTACTTAAGTCGGACACACTATTTGCTGTATTGCTTAAAATAAATTGTCTTTAACTAGCTGAGCTAGGGAGTTACATTTATGTATACCGTTTGGTGTGAACGATATAAATGGAATCTTTTACACATTACCGCAAGGTTGATTTCATCCAAAATTTTAACGTGTAGTGGCTACCGATTGTAATACATTTTTAATTCTATGATGAAATTATATTTATACCTATATATTTGATAAGTATTGTAAACAAAGAACATATTCGTAGTATTTATTTGTGTCACATAATATAAAAAATACATGGTATAGTATAGTTTGAATCCGGTTTAATCGGTCTATGGATATTTTAAAATGTCGGTGGTTCGACTTTGTTTAATACTTATTCGCCGTTCGTGGGATGACTTGTAGACGTATAATATACCTACATTACCTATATATATTTATGTGTGTGTGTGTGCCTGTAAGCCTATGTTGCCTCCAAATTGTGGATGTATGTGTCGTACGTTTACTGTAAACTCGGGACCGTCTAGTCAGGTGTGTGCTTGAGTGTTTTCGTTACTGTTATGCGAACGATAATACCCTGCGGATTTGGGTAGGCAATAGCAGCGGCGAGTACGTATCGTTTATGCCTATTTAAACACACACACACGCACACGTTTTACAAACAATATTGTTGTCAGAACGTGTGTGCGCGTCCGTCCGACGACGATGAACGTCGACGCGGCCAGCGAGAGGTGTGCTCTGAACAAAACACAATGGTCTCCCGTTGTGTGTGTGTGTGTGTGTGTGTGTGTGTGTGTGTGTGTGTGTGTGTGCAGTGTTATTATATTCCGTTGTTTGCCATCCAGGAGTGCCCAAAGTGGTATCTGCAAAATTATGAAATACAAAGGAAACGAAAAATTGTTTTAATATAATTTTTAATTTTTAATTTTTATTCGTTTGCTTTCAGTCGCAGAAACAACGACCTACACCCCAGTATCGACGATATGTGGAGTCGGCATGTTCCGGTGTTCAGACGGAAAATGCATACCGTCCGAATTATTGTGCAACATGCAAAAGGATTGCGACCGAGGGGAGGACGAGTTTCAGAGTTGTCGTAAGTCTACACACACACGATAATCAACTTACTTTTTTCGTACATTCAAATCCTTATTAGCAGATAACTGAAAAATATTTAAAATACTTGAAAGTGTTTTCGAATATCCATTAAGAGCAAAAGATACAAATAAATATTTTATAAAAATTATTTTATGCTTCGTACAAATTTTCATAAAGAAGTATATTTTTAAATTGATACTTTGAATTTTTGGATGTAACTAAATATATATGTAATTATAGATGTAAATCTAATAATCTACCCTCGTACACCACTAGTACTATTTCTTTGCTTACGATATTATAATTTTGCTTCATCCCGTGCAGTGAAGTGTCAAAGATGATTGTTTTAGAATGTTTCCATAGGAGGATATTAGGTTATCATTGTATTACATTTTTTCAATGGTCATTATGATTATATATATATACTATGGGTAAAAGGTATGGAATTTTATATCACATTTACGATTTATCTTCTTTATTGTTATGGTTTATAAATACTCAAAATGAAAGGGAAAATATCGAACAATATCAACAAAAAATAAAATATAAAACTATTTTAGTTTTAGTAGTGACATTTAATAAAATATTTACTTATCTAAAAGAATGTTAATAAGAAAAAAAACATTTCTTAGTTTATATCTAAACTATATACTAAAAATATTGTTTATTATTATTTAGAAGTTTTGAAAATTATATGAGTGCTACTGTACTAAGCTTATTAGCTGAGCACGTCATAGGTTTTTATGTCTTGGTGATAAATTTCACTTCGTTTATTCGATGTTTTAGCTCCACCTGAATGTGAACCCACGTTATTGCCGTGCCGTCAATACCATTGGAACAAAACGTACTGTTACCCGCCACATTACCGGTGTGACGTTACCGTGGATTGTGTCGACGGTTCTGACGAAGCCGATTGCAGTAAGTACATATTATTTAGTGTACAACAAGAAAATACGTGACAATACAGCGATATTAGAAGACAATTTTTCACGTTTGTAAATTAACATGAATGACCCCTGTACGATGTGTTTGGCGGCTTATAGGTGTGCGCACGAGGGGTGCCGGATATGCCTGAGAACTCCTCTCTCCCCAGAAATGTTGTAAATGAAGACCTAAAATTTAAGTCTAAGAGTAAAAGATCTGTATTTGAACTGATGTAGCTCAAATTAAATGTAATTTATTTTAAAATATTTGGTGAAAAATGAATTATGTTTCATAATAGAAAAATTAAAACTAAATTTTCTAAATTTTCGTGCAAAAACTAATTGTGATAATATAATAGCTACAATTTACTATAAAAATGAAAATCATTAATTATTGAAGTTATCTGAGAAAAGTATACTAGATTTAAGGAAAATATATTCATTAATAATACTATATATTAATACTAATATACCACAATATTAAATAAAAAATGAAATTCATATTTATTTTATTATTTATATATTATAATTTATTAAATATACCTATACATTTTATTGAGATAAGGCTCAAAAGTATTGTAGGCACCCTCTGAAATACAGGTTTGTGCATGCCTATGATTTAGCATCATCGTATTAGACGGCATTCTTTACGATCTGAACAATGTAAACTAACCTAATTAACTGTAGTATTTCCAAATATTGTTATCTACGCGTATTATCGTGTATGGTCAGTAGTAATTTTACTTGATTTAATATAGTTATTGTTTGGGTAAATGGTATTGAACATCATCATTCTCTCTAAGACGGATAAAACTCGATATTTTGAACATTTTTCACGCTCCGTAGCGCGTGGATCGATAATGCGAGACAAGAACTTTTAAAATACGCCCAAAGAATATTCTCTATGAATAGAAAAGGAAAAAAAATACGCCTTAAATCTGATTATTAAGACGACAACGAAGTGTGGCGTGACGCGATTTTTATTTTGTAAATCACAGAAGTAGAAAAACAAAAAATTAATTCCGTTGTATGCGCGATGTTACAGCTGATCAGTGGTGTATCCAGAATTTTTTTTTGGGGGGGGTTATAAAAAATTGAACATTAAATTTTTTTTGAATTTTGTGTGTTTTTATTATAATCAATAAACAATATACATACACTAAACATTTTCGGGGGGGGGGGGGGGTTATAACCCCTAACCCTCCCCTGGATACGCCACTGCAGCTGATATAATCATTTCATCGCATAAGTTCACATCCGATTCCGCTCGTCTAATCTCGGCGGCATAAACAATTTTGCAGTTAGAAAAACTGAATATAGTGAATAGCAAGACCGGTCAATCGTCGTTATGTAACATATTATTTTAACCTTATGTGTCGAAATGCATACAAATAATATCTTTTCATGCGTCTCGTAATAACATCGTTAGATCACGATTTTTGCGTTGCACCCATGACTTGGTCACCGTCGTGATTTATTTACATATAAACTGTATGGTAATATGTTGAATTTTATGATATTTTACTGTTTACAGCGTACCGAAAATGTCAGACTGAAGACTTCCGGTGTGAGGTGAACGGTCCCGCCAGTGGTCCATGTCTGCCCAAGTCTAAACGATGTGACGGTTACTACGACTGCCGCAATCATAAGGACGAGGAGAACTGTGGCCCGGCTATCAACATGTCTTGTCCGCTAGACAAATTCCGTTGTCTAAACGGGCAGAAGTGCATCGACCCGAAACTAAAATGCGACCATCAGAACAATTGCGGTGACAATAGTGACGAAGAAAACTGCAGTAAGTTAATGCGACATAAATTTCCCCCTTCGTTGTCCATGTTTGTCACTAACTAATATAATTTTCATCTCCTAAGACTTTGCTGCTTGTCATGTGGGCCAATTCCGGTGCGGCAACGGACTTTGTATCCCGCTAAACTATCAGTGCGACGGGTACGCGGACTGCCACGATGGCAGCGATGAATTAAATTGCACTACTATGGCATGTCCGGGAAAATATCTGTGTCCGCAAGGTGGACCGAACAAACGGCCTAAGTGCATAAACAAGTCGCAACTATGCGACGGACATAAAGATTGTGAAGACAACGCAGACGAAGAGGCCGCGTGCTGTAAGTGTTATTAATTTAAAATCGTTATGTGTACGCGTAATGTTGGTTACACATTTGTTTAATTTTTTTTTTCTCGTCTTACAGCGACGTTAAGTTGTCCAGCGTTGGGTTGCGAGTACAAGTGCCAGGCGTCGCCCACCGGAGGCACGTGTTATTGCCCCGAGGGTAGAAAAATTGGCAACGATTCGAAAACGTGTATAGGTTAGTATCCGAGTGTTGATTTATTATTTTCGCTCGGAATGTAAAATACGTTGTAATGATTTATAAGGCTGGGTACTTTTTTGTTGTTTTAAGTTATAAGCTTTGTTAGGAGAGCTGTACTTTACTATCTAAAATTTAAACTCTATATGTGCCTATGCCGTAGTGTTGTGTACGTCCTCGCGACATCATATCGTAATACACGCAGTCGTATTCTCGTGACATTATCATTGTGTGTTCTCATTTCAGATCGTGACGAGTGTACCGAATGGGGATTCTGTGAACAATTATGCAAGAACACGGAAGGGTCGTATATGTGCAGTTGTTATCCCGGATACGATCTGGTGGACAAGAAGAAATGCGTGGCCAATAATCGGACTCAATCGTTCCAGGTGTACTTCGCTCAGGACAAGAATATCATGAAAATGGACTCCAAGTACCAAAACCAAATGGTGGTAGCCAACGCGACGTCCGCCAGCGGCATGGACTACCATTATGCATTCAACACGTTGTTCTGGTCGGACGTGAAGATGAAGAAGATCAAGTCCATGCAGCTGTCCGACGTGAAAAAGTTCATCCGCGATGGAAATGCGATGCCGGCTGAGATTACGTTGCCCGGTATGTGGGAGCCCATATCCATCGCTATCGACTGGATCGGCAACAAGCTGTACGTGGTGGACGGCGTGGGACAGAAGATCGACGTGTTTGAGCTGTACGGCCGGTGGCACGCTATCGCGCTCAGTAGTAACCTTACCAACCCTTCGGATATAGCGCTGGACCCGACGCAAGGGTACATGTTTATCGCCGACGGCAATCAACTGATCCGCGCCAACATGGACGGCAGCGACACCAAGGCGATCGTCACCGACGCCGTGTACAAGGCTTCCGGGGTAGCGGTAGATATTCTCGAGAAACGACTGTACTGGTGCGATTCGCTGTTGGACTACATCGAGACCGTGGACTACGATGGCAGCAACAGGCATCTGATACTGAGAGGGCCTCAGGTACCGTCACCGTCGCGGCTCGCGGTATTCGAGAACCGGGTGTACTGGTCGGACGGTACCAAACAGGGTTTACTGAGCGTCAACAAGTACGATCCGACCACCGTCTCGTCGGTGTACAAGAACCGCGACATCAAGGACCCGAAGTCTGTGAAGATCGTCCATTCGTTGGTCCAAAGAGAAGGTAAGCGCAACGTTTGTATACGCGCACGTATAGCTTATAACCGAAGACTTGCGTTAGTATACCTACGTCATTATATCCAGTTTCGTTGACGTAACGATCGGTGTTTGTTTCTAGTACCGTCGCCTTGCAGCAAGAACAACGCTGGCTGTTTGCACATGTGTATCGTGACCAGAGGTAGTGATGGCTTGTTGGCCTACAGATGCGCCTGTAATATGGGTTACCAACTTGCCCAAGATATGCATAGTTGTGTTTGTAAGTATCACTACAATTTATATTTTAACATTACGTGTAGGAGGTGTTCCGTTTGTTTTGCCTTTTAATTTCGATGTTTTATTTTTTAAGTGATCGATGAGTTTCTTTTGTACTCGCAACAAAGATTTATCAAAGGTAAAGTTTTGAACAAAGTTTCGCAAGGATTCAGTGATGCCATACTGCCTGTATCGTCAAGGAGAGCTAGATTTGTAGGTCTAGATTTCGACGCTCGTGATAATTACATATATTATTCAGACGTTCTTCAAGATGTTATCTATAGAATACATAGAAATGGGACAGGTAAATTATTGTAGTCAATTGTAAACGACTTTATCGTATACAATTCATATAAAAATAACAAAATAAATAATCAATTTAATAATATATTATATGCAGGTAGAGAAATCGTCTTGGCATCGCAAAATGAAGGTGTAGAAGGTCTTGCTGTCGACTGGGTAGCCAAGAACCTATACTACATCGATAGCAGAAAAGGAACGTTAAACGTGTTGAGTACCCGTAACGTGACTAATAAAAGAGTATTGTTAAAAAATATGAAAAGACCCCGAGCGATTGTAGTACATCCCAACAAAGGGTACGTATAAAATTACTATAATTACTAAATTGTTGTACGTAACGTAACACGTAGATAACCCCAGACAATATTTTAACTATGTATTGTTTTTTTTTTTCAGGTATATATTTTTTTCCGAATGGGATAGACCTGCAAACATTAGCCGTGCGTACACTGATGGTTCTAATTTGATCGTGTTTCGAAATATCACATTGGGATGGCCGAACGGTCTAGCTGTTGATTTCATGTCCGATCGACTTTATTGGTGTGATGCGCTGTTAGATCATGTACAGCATTCAAATCTTGACGGCACGGACGTGAAAACCATCAATTCCACATTGATCAGACATCCGTTTTCCATTGTCACACATTACGGTACGATTTATTTACAACAGAAAAATAATGTTCTGTTGTTGGTACTCGCAGTTTTACATAATATCACTCAATTGTATTCCTCAATTTATATTCTAGATTGGATGTACATCACCGATTGGCGACTAGACGCCATCATTAAGATACACAAGTTAACCGGCGTGGTATCCAACATCGAAGTACGAGAACCACAAAACAATCGTTTGTATGGCGTGAAAATATACAGCGAACACGAACAACTTTTAGATAACAGCCATCCGTGTTCAAATGTCGCCAACTACGGAGGATGTCAAAAGCTGTGTTTCGCGATCCCTTCAAACTCCTCGATAACGCTTAAAGCCCAATGCGGATGTCCGTATGGAGAAAAAATTGCGATGGACGGTAAAACGTGCGTAGCAGATCCGAATGCCGAGCCTCCAGTTACGGCTTGTCCGAATACATGGGACTTTACGTGCAACAACATGCGGTGCATACCCAAAGCGTGGGTGTGCGATGGCGACGATGACTGTCTGGACAATTCCGACGAAGAACAAAACTGCACTAGTTAGTATAGAAAAATGTTCTGTGTAACACAAAATAAATTTAATTAATTTTCAACAGAGTGCATTAATAATTATTATTTTTACAGAGCCGACTTGTGCTCCCGGCGAATGGCAATGCGGTTCCGGCCGTTGTGTACCGGGCACGTTCAGATGTGATGGTGAAAATGATTGTGGTGATTATAGCGACGAGACGGGATGCACGAACGTCACGTGTTCTTCGACGCAATTTTTATGCGATAACAACCGCTGTGTACCGTCCACGTGGAAATGCGATTCGGAAAATGATTGCGGCGATGGTTCTGACGAAGGCGATTTTTGCGCCGAAAAAACTTGTGCATATTTCCAGGTAAATTTCGAATGCCGCATCAAAAAGAGTTGCTGGATAAAACGTTTACACAGACTGTTATGTGTATTTTCATATTTTAGTTCACTTGTCCTCGGTCCGGTCATTGTATTCCTCAAACGTGGGTGTGCGATGGCGATAATGACTGTTTCGATAACCAAGACGAAGAAGGTTGTCCGCCGATCACGTGTTCACCAACTCAGTTCAAATGTGCTGATCTTAGACAATGTATACAAGAAACGTACAAATGTGATGGCATATTGGATTGCAATGATGGCAGTGATGAACTGGGTTGTCGTAAGTGTTAAAACTTTTAGTCGTATAAATAAAAATCAAATCGAGCATTAGTTACTATCAAGAATTTCATATTAAAGAGGCGATAAAATACGTGTGAAAAATGAACAAATATTTTAATAAAGTAGATGAAAAGTTATAAAAATTATTTTTTATATAAATTTAAATATTCATGTGATGATGATATTGTCAAGTTATCCTATATGGTGGTACATAATAGTGAAATAAATAGGTTTTTTATCGGTTTATGAAACCAGCACAGTATAAATATGAGTATAAAATGAATAGAAACTCAATCAAAATTAGTAAAAAAATTGCATAGTTAAATAAAAAAAATTGTGAGTTTATAGTTATTATAGGTTTAAAGTCAAATATAACACAGTTAACTTGTATAAATCAAAAAAAAATTGAATTTATTTTGAATTTTTATTTTAACAGATTATGATAACCGTTCAAAAGTCATATCAGATGTTTACATATAATTAAATTATATTATAATAAAAATTTATTTTTATAATGTTTGTTATAGCTACACTAGCTCCTAATCAATGTGACACAGAAAAGCAATTCCGTTGTGAAAAATCTGGAATTTGTATACCAAAAACATGGTATTGCGATGGAACAGCTGATTGCGATGATGATTCTGATGAACCAAAAACGTGTGGACAAGTTTCATGTCAGTCGAACTATTTTAAATGCAATAATTCGCAGTGTATTTTCAAAGCATATATTTGTGATGGAAGAGACGATTGTGGTGATGGTTCTGATGAAGATTATAGACTTGCTTGTGGAGCACCACCATTCAAGTATGTTTATTTTAATTTTTCTACATGATCGAAACCAAATTTGAATAAGTAACGAAATTTAATATTTTTTTTTTTTTTTTTTTTAGGTGTATGTCAGGTGAATGGCAGTGTCCAAATGCGACAAATCGTTGTATAAATATAACAAATGTTTGTGATGGAATACCTCATTGTCCAAATGGTGCCGATGAAGGACCGAATTGTGACTTACCAGAATGTGATAAGGAAGGTTCTTTCTGTTCAAACGGATGTAAACAAACGCCAGTAGTAAGTTAGTTTAGATTGCATAGCTAATAAAATGTTTTATTCACTTTTAGTCTATATTAAAACAAAAAATGAATTTTAGGGACCATTATGCACATGTCCCCATGGTGAAGTTCTGAACACTACATATGAATGTATGGACCTAAACGAGTGTGACCCACCTGGTCTTTGTTCGCAGCACTGTACAAATACCAAAGGAAGTTATTTCTGTTCCTGTGCTTCAGGATATATTCTGGAGTCTGATAAGCACACTTGTAAAGCTTTAAGTAAGATAATACAATGTTTAAATATTTTAAAATATCATATATTGTCACCTTATACTCATATTAATTGATACCTTGTGTTTTTTTTTGTCAGACCATAGTGCCGCATTTCTAATTATATCCAATCGGCATTCCATATTGGTAGCTGATCTCAAAGAACAAGGTCTTGAACGGGTCCCTATTATAGTGGAAAATGTAGTTGCAACAGCGTCAAACATGCATACAGGCACGATATTCTGGTCAGACATGAAACTTAAAAAAATATCCAGGCTGGATAAAAGCAGTGAACCTAGAGATGTAAGTAGATATATAAAATTAATATCGTATTAACAGTAATTATTGTTAACGAATGTGTACAAAATTGTTATAGATTATCACATCTGGATTAGATTTAGTGGAAGGTTTAGCCTATGATTGGATTGGAGGACATATTTATTGGTTAGATTCTCGGTTGAATACGGTTGAAGTAGCTAATGAAAATGGAACGAATCGTATTATTCTGCTAAAAGAAAATATTACTCAACCGAGAGGAATGATGTTAGATCCAAGTCCTGGGTATGATTTTGACTCATCTTACAACTAACCGAATAATATTAAGCAACATTTAAAATTGTATAGAGCACGATGGTTGTTTTGGACTGATTGGGGAGAGAATCCAAGAATTGAACGTGTTGGTATGGACGGTACTAACCGTTCTGTTATAATCAGTTCTAAGATCTATTGGCCTAATGGTTTAACATTGGATATTGTCAATCAACGTGTATACTTTGCTGACTCTAAACTTGACTTCATTGACTTCTGTTATTATAACGGTACAGGTCGTCAGCAAGTCATCGCTGGAAGTCACTATTTACTTCATCCACATTCTTTAACTTTGTTCGAAGACACACTTTACTGGACTGATAGACAGTTAAATAGGGTAACATTTATTGTTAAGGTGGTGTTAACTATCTCTTTTATATATATTTTTTATTTTAGGTATTATCCGCTCATAAATTTAAGGGGAAAAATCAAACAGTGGTTTCCCATTTAATTTCACAACCATTGAGTATTCATGTACATCATCCGTCCTTACAACCAATCACACCAAATCCTTGTGAAAATACCACTTGTGAGCAACTTTGTTTATTATCACCTTCTTCGCCTACAGGATTCACCTGTAAATGTAAACCAGGATACAAAGTTTCTAGTACTGGCCAGTGCCTTGAAAGTAATTAATGATACAAAAATATGTTGATTTTCGAAATAGTCTTCAGTGCCTAATAATATTATCTATTTTGTGTAGACGAGTCTCCGTTTTTATTAGTTATGAGAGGTTACCAAATTATTGACGTAAGTCTTACACCAGGAGATAAAACTACTGGACACATTGTTCCTATTGTTGGTATTGAAGGAGGAACACAAGTAGATTACGACACAGAAACAAAATCTTTATACTGGGTCGAAGGATTGAAAGTGAATGAAGAAGATGAAAGTATCAACAGCGTTAATGTAAATACTATTAGCAGTTTTTAATATTATGCAAATTTATTAAATTTATTTTTGTGATGATATAGTGTACGTTAATGATGTCTCCCTATCATGGAGGAAACAAATCATCTTTATTAGGTGATCTTACTGGTTTCGTTGGAGCCCCATATGTTATCGCTTTTGACTGGAATGGTCGAAATTTGTATATTGGAAATCGGGAATCTTCTAGCTTAGAGGTAGTTAAAGTCGATGGTAATAATAAATACAGAATGGTGCTGTTATCGAATAATGGAAAAGATGTATCAGTAGCAACACCGATTGGGATTGTTTTAGATCCTAGTGAAGGGTAAGTTTTCCTTTGTAAATTATTAAATTTATATTTTATACTAATTTTTATCATTCAATAATTAAATTAATATATTATTGTAGAAAACTTTACTGGGCTGATCAAGGAGGATATGGAGTACCTCCTAAGATAGGTAAAATTAACATGGATGGATCTAATCCTCAAGTGTTAATACATGATGGTTATACACCTGAAGCAATTGCTATCGACTTAGAACAAAAAAATATTTATTATAGCACACAATATCCTAGCAGCGTAAATAATTTTTTGATTATTCTATTTTATTAATACCGCAAAAAAAAAAAAATTATTTTCTAAGTATTTTTATTTTTATTTTAGATAAAAATGATGAGTGTGAGTGGTATGAACCATCGAACATTAATGGGAGAACATCAAAGTATTGCTTTCCCAAAATCAATGGGCATTTACGATCGGTATTTGTACTTCATCGATTCCAGATATGATCATCTTGTAAGAGTAAATGCTGATGATGGATCTGGAATGGAAAAAATATTAGAAAACGATGCAGATCTTAAATCATTAACAGTGTTTTCAAAGAAAACTAGTAAGTTTCAAAAAAGTTTTAATGTTTAAAAAAAAGTAAATTTAAAATAACTCAATTTTTTTAGATGAATATCATCCGTGTGCTGTTACTAAAAATGGGGGTTGTCAACAGTTTTGTATTCCCAGTGAAAACGGTAATAGAGTTTGTGCTTGTTCTGTGGGATATAAAAAAGAACTAGATATTAAATGTACACCACACACATCATTTGCGGTAGTTTCTCAAGTTGATTTAGTCAGAGGATATAGTCTTACCGACACGCTTGATGCAATTGTTCCTATATCAGGACCAGGTAAACTATTTTAATATTTATTTCAATTATTTCAATTTAAAGATATATTCATTAATTTAATTTAAAAATCTGCAGGACATCATATTTTACACGTTGATGTTCACGTGGCTCAAAACTGGATATATTGGGTAGAATTTAATCGTGGTATATGGAATGGCATTTATAGAATACGACCCAATGGTACTGAACTTCAACACATAATCAAAGACGGTATTGGTTCCAATGGTATTCGTGGTCTGACTATCGATTGGATTGCGGGCAATATGTATTTCACAAATGTATTTCCACATGAAAATTACGTTGAAGTTTGTTGGTTGGATGGTTCTATGCGTAAAGTCCTAGTCAAAACAACTACTGACGCACCAAAAGAATTGGCGGTTAATCCAATCAAACGATTGTTGTATTGGATCGACTACGGTCAGTATCCTAAAATAGGAAAAGCTTACTTAGACGGATCTAATTGGATGCCGATTGTGACAACTGGAATTAGTCAACCTAGAGATTTAACTGTTGATATGGTTACACATGATGTATATTGGGTAGATGCAAGATTAGATTTAATCCAAAAAATATCTTCTAGTGGTGGAGAAAGACAGGTAAACAGTGAATATTTTGATTCAAAAAATATTATTTTAAAAAACGTTGAGGTTTTTAAATAATTGTTTGCTTTCTCAGGTTGTACGAAGAAATATACCAAATCCAATGGGTATTGCTATACATTTGAGTGATATGTATTGGGTCGATAGAAATCTAAAAACTGTATATAAGGCTTCCAAATTGCCAGGAAATATATCCATGCCTATTCCAATCAGAACAGGGCTACCCAGATTACGTGATATAGCAATATTCGATGTAAATACACAACCTCCGGATGATTCTAATTCATGTTCTCGATTCGGCAACGGAGGATGTGATCAACTATGTTTCTCATTCCCACCTTCTTATTCGTTGAATAAATTTTTGTTCCGTTGTGATTGTGCTACTGGAGTTATAGCAGCGGGAACGGGTACTAAATGTGACACGGTGTCTGAATACTTGGTATTTGCTACGAGAACTGAAATTCGATCAGCAAGTTTAGACCCCCAATCAACCACACTGCCTTTCAAGCCAGTTGTATGTATATAAAATAATTAGTACGCTATGATGAACATAATATAATTTATAATATTTTTCCAGGGTAATTTGTCAAATGTGGTTGGTTTAGATTTCGATTATTCAGATAATAAATTATTCTTCACTCAAATTCGACCAATGTCCCAGATAGCATCAGTGTCGAGTAATTCGCCTAGCAATAGCCAAATAAAAACAATTTTAGGACGTCGAATCAACCCAGAAGGAATCTCGTATGATTGGACACAAAAGAAAATCTATTGGACAGATTCATCGAATAATTCCATATATGCAATGAATTTAGACGGCACCGAAGTGGTGATGATTGCTAGAGTTGAAAGACCTCGAGCAATTGTTGTCGATCCATGTAATGGGTTAGTAGACTCATTGTTTTGTTTTCTATTATTAATTTTATTTTTAGAGTTTTAAATTTTAATTAATTATTGCACAACTACTAAAATATTTTATTTCCAGTTGTTAAATACTATTTTTATGATGTTTATTTAATTTAGAACCTTATATTTTACCGACTGGGGAAGATTTGGTACAGCTGGCAAGATTTTCAGAACTACAATGGCAGGGTCTTTGAAAAAAGCAATCATCGATAAGGATTTGTCTCAACCAAGTGGTTTGACGATTGATTTCGATGATCAAATGTTGTATTGGTCTGACGCCGTGAGAGAAAAGATTGAAAGATCTACGCTCGATGGATCTAATCGAGAAGTACTAATAACAGCTACCATATATCCGTTTGCACTGACTGTCCATGGAAGTTATATATATTGGACGGATCTTCAGCTGAGAGGTGTTTATAGAGCTGATAAACATACTGGTGGTAATATGATAGAAATTGTCAAGAGATTAGACGATTCTCCCAGGGATATAGCAATTTATTCTAAAGACCGACAAAAATGTTCCATAAATCCATGTTCAATTAGCAATGGAGGATGCGCACAAAGTTGCCACCCTGGACCCAATGCTACAGCTGAATGTAAATGTGATGACAATTCGAAACTTGTAAATGAAGGTCGTATGTGTGTTAGTAAGAATATCACATGTGAAAATAACAAATTCCACTGTCGCAATGGAAAGTGTATATCACGCATGTGGTCATGTGATGGTGATGATGATTGCGGTGACAACAGTGACGAAGATGTAAATTACTGTGGTATGTATTTTATTTTTAATATTATTAATGGTTTTCTAAGAAAATTCGAGTATTAACTTTATTAACAATAGTAACAAAACTACGAGAAATAAAATATAAATATAAAAATACTATATAATTAAATTTGAACTTCTAACTGTATGTTTTGTTATTTATATAGCTTATCATTCGTGTAGTACTAATGAGTTCAGATGTGCCAACGGTCGGTGTATATTTAAAACTTGGAAATGTGATCATGAAAATGATTGTAAAGACGGATCTGATGAAGTTGGATGTGTTTATCCACCATGCGCAGATGGAGAATTTACTTGTGCTAATTTCAGATGTATTGCCATGTCACAAGTAAGTTGATACTTATTTGTTTTTTCAAAGACCAATTGTTTATAGTTTAATATAAAAAATAAATTAAAATATTTGTCTATAATATTATATATAATCATGTTCATTATAATAGTTTATTTTGATACTTAAAAATATGTTTTTTACTGATTATATTTTATCTAATCTAAATATAACTCAAACTAATAATTAATGAGCGCCGAATTTTAATAACTCGATTTAATTATGGTGATATTAACCTTGAAAATGGATATAGCGTATAAAATACAGTAAATATCTAAACAATTAAAGATATCAATAAATGATAAACAAAAATACAGTTGCCCATTATAATTTTAATTGAGTTGAGACATATTATATATGAGAATATTATACCTTCATGCTCATGATTACTTATCATGTGTATGGTTTATTTATACTTTAAAGTAATAATGATATACATTGACTGACAAATTCTTATTTATTGTGCAGATAGTAATTTGATAGTTAGTAAATTGTTAAAGTATTGGTTTCTGCGATAATCCACTTTTTTTCAATAATATCTTTTTTACTCCAATATAGTTTACAAACATATAATCTAGTTAAAATTTCTAAATAATTAAACATGTGCTCTATAATTACTATTTGTCCTAAAAATAAAAAAAATCCTGTTATTTAATTATTTATGCATAGAAATTTCAATATCATGATGCTAAAAAAAAATAAATATATATTAATAATTCAATACATTTGAAAATAAATTTTAAAAACAAATGAATATGTTTTTTTTTTTTTTAGTAACACTTAATACCCAACATGAATCTCAACTTAACTTTATTATGAAGTAATATTATTATAAAATAAAAATGTAGTTGAGTTACAGTGACTATTAACGTAATCATTTTGTCGCGTAAAATCATGATTGGTGACATACAACTTTACACATAGATATAACATTTTTAATTTTAAGAGGTCTTAAATATTTTTTATGGTCACCTATGCATTTTTGTTTTGTTTTTAATTTTACCATGACCACATGTTATAATATCTATTGTAACTTGAATTTTAACTTTCAATCGATGCAACAATTTGTATTCTCATTATTAATGAAATATCATTCGAGAAACCGGGTTCATCAATAAGGGCTTTGAATGATACATCCATACAGCACCTGTTGATATGATTTAACATTATGAACTTGAAATAAAAAGTGAACATTTGTAAAATTGATCGTAGCGAACGAATCGTTCATCATCATTCATTAGCTAAATAATAATATTCAGCAATTGTTAAATTTTGTTTTTAAGCATCGTGTATATTTTAACTATCCTAATTGTTTTCGTATAAAAAAATTTAACATTAGGTATGTAATGGCGTAAACGACTGCAAAGATAACTCAACTTCAGACGAGACTCACGACCGGTGTCCGAAAAACATCACATGTCCGGCGAACCATTTGAAGTGTGAAAAGACGAACATATGCGTGGAACCGTATTGGCTGTGCGACGGCGACAACGACTGCGGGGACAATAGTGACGAGGATTCGGTGCACTGTTCTCAGAGAACGTGTCCATCCAACAGCTTCCGGTGCCCGAACCACAGATGCATACCCGCCACATGGTATTGTGACGGAGACGACGACTGCGGTGATGGATCGGACGAGCCGCCGGAGTACTGCAAGTCGGAAGGCCGTACATGTTTCGGCGATCTCTTCACCTGCGACAACGGCAACTGCATACCGAGGATTTATATTTGCGATGGTGATAACGATTGTTTGGACAATTCCGACGAAGACGCGAGACACCAGTGCAGTAAGTCTAAAATAATGCAATTAATATTTTTAATATAGTGTTATCTTAAGGTCACTACAAAATAATTTTCCAACAAAACGATTGTTTTTGTTTTAGTCCGTTGAAATAGCATTATTGTGTACTATATTTTGTGTCAGTATTTCTTGTCGCTTTCCATATTTTTCTCTGTTCTCGCATTTCGGATGAAAAATTTAAGCCTGTCTAGTGTCTACGAAATGTCGACCTATTCGATGAAAGGAACGTAGTGTATGTAACAAATAACGGAAGTTCAGTAAATGATACTACTGTACCGTTTACTGTACGTATTGTTTCGAGTTCGATTCAATGGCGTATGGTATTATTTGAACGACAATAGGAGGATGTAATATTTCCACTTTCGAAATTTCCATTTTTCTAACATTTCTGTTCCGCGGTACCATCATTTTTATGGGTAGTAGTTTTGCATCAAACCTTAAAAATATTTTTATTTGCCTAGATAACCGGAAGTGCGACGAATCGACCGAGTTCACGTGCCTGGCGAACAAGGCGTGGAACCGAGCGCAGTGCATACCGAAAAAATGGCTGTGTGACGGCGACCCAGATTGCGTGGACGGAGCGGACGAGAACGCGACTGCGCTCAACTGCTCCACCGTGGCGAACTGCAGTGCGGACCAATTCACGTGCGGCAACGGACGGTGTATTAACAAAGGATGGGTGTGCGACCATGACAATGATTGCGGTGACGGCACGGACGAGGGCAAGGATTGCCATTCGCAGTACAAGACGTGCTCGCCGCGCGAGTTCGCGTGCCAAAACTTCAAATGCATCCGGAGCACGTACCGGTGCGACAACGAGGATGACTGCGGCGACAACTCGGACGAGTACAACTGTCCCGGGAAGAACATCACGACATGTGGCTCCGATCAATTCCGGTGCAACAGTGGTCAGTGCATCAACTCGACGTTGGTGTGCAACAAGGTATCGGACTGCTCGGACGACAGCGACGAACCTGCGCATTGCAACGTGGACGAGTGCGCCCGAGTGGAACTTAACCAGTGCGCTCACAAGTGCATAGACACACCCACCTCGTTCACCTGCGAGTGCAACGAAGGATACAAGTAAGTGGTCATACCTGTTTCTCCTTAGGTCTCGGAGAACATCGTTCTCCCCTTATTAATCCTTCACATTTCACCCCTTATTACTCCTTTACATTTCACCCCTGCTCTATTGCGAGCCATGGGCCTCTTATCCCCTGGGTACACATCTATAATATGCACATCTGTTCTGGAACTATTCGCTAAAATTCTAACTTCAGTGTTTGTTTTCTGCAGGTTGATGGAGGATGGAAAAGCTTGCGAAGATATAAACGAATGTATGGAAGTGGCCGGAGCGTGTTCGCAGTACTGTTTGAACACTCCCGGATCCTTTTATTGCAAGTGCGATGAGACCTATTACGATCGCACGTCCGACGAGCGCACGTGTAAACGTCGCGATAAAATCAAACCGTGGTTAGTTTTCACCAATAAGTATTACGTGCGAAACATGTCCCTAGACGCGTCCGAGTATTCGCTCAACCATCAAGATTTGCTTAACGTGGTCGCGTTGGATTTCGATTTTGCGGAAGAAAAGTTGTATTTCTGCGACGTTAGCGCCAAGACAATCTACAGGACAAAAGTGGGGAGTACCGAACGAGAAAAGATTATTCGACACGACAGTCACGGTCTCGAAGGCATTGCTGTGGATTGGGTGGGTCGAAAACTTTATTGGCTGGATCGACACAGTAAGCACTTGGAAGTCGCCGAGCTGAACGGTACCAATAGAAGAACTCTTAAGGCCGGTATTCAAGATCCACGAGCAATAGCCGTGCATCCGGGCACTGGTTACTTATATTTCACCAGTTGGCATCTTCAGGTATACTAAAAAAACTGTTAAATTTCTTAGTCGTTTGAACTTGTATAATATTTTGCATTATATAATCAAATAATTGTCTTTTTAATACATTTGTTTATTTTTAAATATTAACTTCATAGGCCTACATCGGAAAAATTGGTATGGATGGAAGCAACTTTACTCAAATATTAACACACGAGAACGACATCGCTTGGCCAAATGCTCTGACTATTGATTACTTTACTGAACGTATTTATTGGGCCGACGCTCATTTGGATTACATAGCTTCTGCTGATTTAGAAGGTAAATTCAAGCATATCGTATTGTCAGGAGACCGCGTACCGCATGTATTTGCACTTACGCTATTCGACGATGAATTATTTTGGACTGATTGGAATTTGAAAGCAATAGTGAAATCGAATAAATTTACAGGTAAATTATAATACTCGATAATCGTAATTTACCGATTAAAATAATTTATACCATTGATATAATTCGTTTTTCAGGACAAAATTACAAAGTATTAAGGAATACAACACATCGTCCATATGATTTAAATATTTACCATCCTTTACGGCAAATACCGTTTGCAAATCCATGTGGCGATGATAACGGTGGCTGTTCTCATTTGTGTCTCTTACGGCCTGTTCCCGGAGTAGACTCAGCTCCAGACGGCTACTCGGATACTAAAAGTCCAGTATCCTTTACTTGTGCTTGCCCCAATCAATTTTATATGGACCCACGTGACAATAAGACTTGTATAGCAAATTGTACTGTAGGACAGCACGAATGCAAAGAAAATGATCAAAAATGTATTCCTTGGTTTTGGAAGTGTGTAGAAAATAGCTTTTCATCCATGAAGTAATAAAAGTAAAAATATTATTTAAATTAACTATTTTAGATGTGACGGCGAAAGAGACTGTGCCGATGGAACGGATGAGCAACAATGTGCCACGAGATATTGCCGTGGTGGAGCTTTTCAATGTGAAAATCGCAACTGTACACCATCAGCTACTATTTGTGATGGCGTTGATGATTGTGGAGATGGTTCAGACGAGAAAAACTGTACGCTACCGTGCCCAGATATAGAGTTTAAATGTCGTTCGAATGGTCGGTGTATTTTAGATTCGTGGAAATGCGATGGTGAGCCCGACTGTAAAGATGGAAGTGATGAAGATCCAACAATGTGCCGTAAGATTTTGAAAAAATAAATATTATAAGTTTAATATACTTAATATACTTAATGTGTTCATGTATTGATATTTAATTTTACTTTTAATATTTTAGATAACAGACCATGTGATTCGAAAACCGAATTCTCTTGTAAGAATGGTCGCTGTATACCAAAACTTTGGGTCTGTGATTTTGATAACGATTGTGGTGACGACTCAGATGAACCCGCTTACATGTGTCGACAGCGGAACTGTACAACTGGTTGGCAAAGATGTCCAGGAAGAACCAATTATCGGTGTATACCTAAATGGTTATTCTGTGATGGTAAAGACGATTGCCGTGACGGTTCGGACGAGTTGCCTGAAAATTGTCCAAAATGTCAACCTGCAGAATCTAAATGCAAGAACAATAGATGTATACCAAAAAGATGGCTGTGTGATTTTGAAAACGATTGTGGGGACAATTCAGATGAGTCTGAAGAGCTATGCAAAGGAGTATACCGACAGTGTTCGGAATCTGAATTCCAATGTTCTAATGGAAAATGCATTCCGGGCCAGTGGAGATGTGATCACGATGACGACTGTGGAGACAATTCGGACGAACTCAACTGTGGAGGATTCCAATGTAAAAATGGTACTTTCCAATGCAAGAGTGGTCATTGCATCGCATCGTATTTCCGTTGCGATGGCGACAGGGACTGCAGAGACTTCAGTGACGAAGTTGGCTGTCCTCCGAGATATCCTGAAGGTCGGTACTGCCCCAAATCTAAATTTGAATGCAAAACTACCAAGTTATGTGTATTCAATTCTGAAATTTGTGATGGCGAAGACGATTGTGGTGATGGGTCCGACGAAGCACCAGAACTTTGCTGTAAGTTGAATGGAATTATTTTTGTTTTAAATACTCTTGTTTGTAATTATCATTCTAAAAATAATTATTTTCACAGCTAACATGAGTTGTACCCTTGACAATCGTTTTTCTTGTGACAACAAACACTGTATTCCAATGTATCAACGTTGTGATGGTGTTGACAACTGTGGAGATGGTTCTGACGAAAATGATCTAAGTGTTTGCGGTATGATGCATAATATCAGACAATGCGATCATTACACTGAATTTACTTGTGCTAATCGTGAATGTGTAAACAAATCAAAACTGTGTAATCTTCAATATGACTGCGAAGATCTATCCGATGAAAAAGGATGCCGTAAGGAAATATTTCAGGATTATAAATTGGTTTGTTTTTAACACATGTTATATCGTTTCATTATAGATTACTTTGGTACATGTTTGGAGTCTAATAAAGGAGGTTGTGAACATTACTGCTTAAATGTAACATCAGGTAAAGGTTTTAGCTGTGCTTGCTATGCTGGGTACAAGATCGGTGAGGATAGTAAAAAATGTGAAGGTAAGTTAAATTATGTGTACAAAATCTTGTACTAGTAATTATACAAATTACATATTAAACTCAATCTAATACTTCATAATATTTTATAATTTTGTAGATTTGGACGAATGTGCACTAGGACTTCATCATTGTTCTCAAGACTGTTTGAATATAAACGGATCATACGCTTGCTCTTGTCGAGAGGGTTTCATTTTGAGTGACTTGTTTAGTGGGGTTTGCAAAGCTATGGATCCAAAACTTACTATAGTTTACACGAATGGTCCCGAGTTACGTGGATACGAAATGAATGAAAGAAGACATATGTCAATTTTGAGCAACGAAAAACGGATACAAGCTATTGACTTTGATCCAAAGTCTGAGATAATTTATTGGGCCGATTCGTATGATCAATCAATCAAACGTTCTTATATGGTGGATGCTCAAAAAGGACAGGTTAAAGTAGGATATCCGCAAGACTTGGATATCAAAGGACCATTTAAACCTGTAGCTGTCGCTATAGATTGGATGGGTGATAATATTTATTGGGCTGAGATTGATCAATCGAAAGAAGACAAACCGGCGGGTCGAATAATGGTAGCTAAACAAGATGGAAGATACAAAAGAACGATAATTAGTAGCGGTGTGTATGCATTTTATACGAATTGTTGTTTTATAACTAAATATATTTTTTTTTTATTCTAGGACTGGATATTCCTTCATCCTTAGTTTTAGATCCCGAAATGGGTAAAATGTTCTGGGCAGATGTCGGAGAAAACCCAAAAATTGAAATGTCTTGGATGGACGGTTCCAGGCGAGCACCATTGGTCACTACTAGATTGCACTTCCCAACAGGATTAACAGTTGACACAGCTATGGACCATGCATTATATTGGGTGGACACTAAACTTAACGTTATCGAATCCATTAAGTATGACCAAAAGAACAGAGTGGTTGTGATTCGTGGAGGTCAGTACCAATTAAATGTAAAATAGTGTATAAATTTTGTTTTAACTCTGTGTGTAATATTATAGACCGTTTGCACCATCCTATATCATTGGATCTATTTGAAAACCAACTGTATTGGTTATCAAGAGAAACTGGCGAATTAATAAAACAAGATAAATTCGGTCGTGGCGTCCCGGTTACTATCGCTAAGGACTTAGTAAATCCAGCTGGTGTCAAAGGTTAGTTGAACGTGATCGAGTTTTTCTCCTCGGCAGTTCCACACATGTACAAATAGAAACTTACTGAGAACAAATCTGATAAATTTATGACTATTTTGGGTTTGCGCGTCTATGTAATAACTGTTGACCAATCATTCGTAGGTTTCAATTCTTCATAACTTGTTTTATCATAATTTAATTCTCGGTACATTTCTTATGATGGACACAATAGAATGCTTTGAGTTTTATTGAAATTACTATTTTTTCCTGATTAACAAAATTTATTTTTATTTGTTTTAGTTTACCATCGACAGAGATACAACTATACGACACTAAATAAGTGCCAATCTGCTGGATGTTCACATCTATGTCTGTTGGTACCTGGAGGTGTATATTGTGCATGCCCAGATCATACGCATGTTCAGCAAGGTGCCAGTGAAAAGATATGTGACGCAGGTAATTAACTATGAATGTATAAATATTACACGGTTTTTATGTTTTTATCCACCTGGCAATGTCATTTGGCAAAAAATTAACGGTGGTATTTTTTCTATTACAGCCGAAGAACCACCGAAATCAGCGCCACAAATTTGTCCCTGTCAAAATGGAGGTATTTGCGTTGAAGAAGCTGATGGGGCTGAGCTCAGTTGCTTATGTCAACCTGATTTTAGCGGTCACGTTTGTGATATCACGTCGAAACGAATCAGAAGAATGGGCATCTTTAGTTCTATGCTTATAATTCCATTGACTGGATTATTATTACTCTTGGTCGCTGGTGCAATTTTCGTTTTTATTCGCAAAAGACCATTGTAATTATTGTTTAATAATTTAATTATTTAATTAATATGATAGTTTTTATTGATTGATTTTTTTTCTATTTAATCACAGTGGTAAAGGAGCCGTGCTTGGTAGCTTGACGAATTCGCAAAGCGTTTCGTTTAGACAAGGAACCAACGTAGAATTCGGCCCCAATGCGTTTAACAACGGACCAGGACAAGGGGTAAATAATTAAGCGAAACGTTAATCTATTATTCAGTGATAACAGTCTATTAATGTTTACAGGAACCATTGGACGTTGAGTACAACATGACAGACATAAGCGGAAAGAATCGTGACTTCAGCAATCCCATGTACGATGCTCTTGGAAATATGGAATCAGATGCCGGCAACGGTATATACGAAGTGCCTTTGGATGTTACCAAGACTAAGGGTTTAGTCCAAGAACCCGCGTCCGCCATTCTCGCGCCGTCCAGCATTATACAAAAAGCCTCGCCGCAGATACAAAGGAGGCACAGAGAACTCGAGCCGGCCACAACGGACACGGGCAAAGACACACAGATGTTGGTCGAAGAAACTGACGACTGAGAATATGTTATAATTAGAACGCAATACAATTTTCCCTTCCCTCAAAGAAGAATATACCTGGTGCGTGTAATAATTTATTAAATTTGAACCCTCTCCTCCCATCTGAAAAATAATACGAGAGTTTTTAAACAAAATAGCATTTTAATAAGTTTATATTAATTTTTTTTTTGTAAAATATTTTCATGTTTGCCAGTATGTAACATCGTATTTGTTTTACTTTTAGTTTTTGTCTTACTGGTAGCGACTGACCAATACCATGGTGTAAGTGTATAAAAAAACATAAGCATTATTTTGTTTACACCATGACCAAAACGCGTTAATCGTTTGAACTTGTGATATCGATTATATATCATACTTTAAAGCATAATATTTTTGTTAAGTGTATTATAATATTTAAATTACTATATATTTTTGTTTATGTACATTTTTTTAATTACTGCTAGTGACAACATGTGTAATTTAACGGCAAACATAAGACAATAAAATTTTATGCAATTTGTTGAAACCATATTGTTCTTTATTAAAAAAAAAAAAAAAAAATAAAAAATAAACATTACAAAACAAATAAAATCTATATGAATGATGGTAATGGATACAATAATATTATTTTAACAATATAATAATTAATTTAACTCAATCAATCAACTTCTAATTTTCTAAAAGACCCAGTTAGTTCTTTTTGCATGTCATCAAATTCACTGATTATCTTCCCTTTGCCATTTACGTTGATTTTCATGTCATCTAAAGCTAATAGCATTTCACGTTTAGCACGGAGTTTCTTTTTTAATTCAGCTGTAAAAATAAAAAATAAAAATCTTCGTAATCATTGTGTTATAATATTCTTATGTGGAAGGTATGAATCAAATGTTTAAATGGTTTCAACAAAACGGTTTTTGAAACCTAGCGGGGTTTTACTTAACATCATAGATAATGAGTGATATAAAATACAATCCAAGTTCTTTATTCTATGAAGTAGACGCCTACACTCGTATATGTTCTGTCTTTCTTATAAACGTACTACAGTAAATTCGCGTTTGCGCCCCGAGGGATGTGGACAGTAGCGCCCGAAACATAAGGTACTGCATGTCGATTTATACCCCATATTCGTCCATTTCGCATACAAAGTTACTATTTAATATTATGGTTGTTCAAACTTATAACTCCCGAAACCAAATTTCTACTGAAGTAGAATTTAAAGCTACGAAGAATTAAAAATTCATAGTTCTTAGTAGTATATGTTATTTTAAAATCCATTTAAATTTAATTTTAAGTGTAATACTGCAAAATAAATAGTAGATACTATATAGCTTCTTCGCAAGGTTCACAGAGAGAATTGTCATGAACCACAATTAAGATAAAATGGATTGATATTCGATAATACCGATAAGGATGTAACATAAATAATTAAAAATAGTTAAATTGGTAAATAATACTATACAAATATCCAATAATTCAATTTGGCAACGTTGTCCGCTTTTTATTAATATTATTTCGGGCTATAAAAAGGGTGTGATTGGCGCAAGTGGGCTCCACCATTCGCATTCATTAGTTCAAATGTTATGTTATTGGCTAATATATCAGAGTAAACCTTCAATTAACTGTAATTGTAAATTATTTTTAAACATAAACGAAAGAACATTATTTGAGTTTAGTTGGTCGGTTATTTACGATATTTTAATTTTTAAGAAAGTTAAGACTATTTGAAATATTTCAATTAAAAATAAGAAGTTAGTTTGAAAATTAATAATCGAACAACAAAACAACTTCACTCTATGTTTAAATTCGGTTAGTTTAATAATATTGAAGATAAAACAACACAACATTTAAACTGATGAACCCATATTCGCGATGTTAGATTACGTTCATAAGACATATGCTGGTGTGACGTCCGGTTTATACCAAGTTTGCTGACAAAATAAAAATATCATGACCTATCATGTTAAATGGAATACTTTTATGTAATAACATATCTCCGATCAAAGTCTAACATGACTAAAAGTTTTTATCATCAGAATACGACATTGATTGTTGAAAGAATTATTAACATAAACGTCATGTACCAATATACTGTAAATATATTGCAAATAACCAAAAAGGTTAATATGATTAATAAATTATGATAATAAAGTAATAATAATAGTTATGATTAAGTTTGTGATAGTGTATTAATGCTCGAGTATTGTTGCAAAACTTTTTTAAAATTATAATTTCAAAAACTTTTTTTCATCATTATGGAGTAGTTCAAAATTAATTCTAAAAAATCAAGACTTGCTTGAGCGGATAAATTATATTCATAGGATTAATAGAAAACGAGTGAACAAGGAGTATATAAATGCAATTTAATAATCTAAAAACGGATGTCAGCATACCGGGAAATAACCGTTAATTTATTCAACAACATCTATAACAAACCTATCATCGTGTCCAGCGGTATTTCGCCTCCGTATTCCTTTGGGAGATATTTCGGGTCGATGAATTTCTGTATGTCTTTTTGACCAGTGAAGAACTGAAACAATTGAATAATATGACAGTAAGTTAATAGATTGGTGGCGCGAAAAGCGATAAGGATGAAAGTATGCATTACTTTTACTCTGCTCTTGAGCTTGGTGTTCAAAAATGATACTGTGGCTGTGAAGAATTTATCAGCGAAATTCGGAACGTTTATGAAGTAAGTTGATTTATGTCTCATCGGGGTCGAACTCTGAAAGAAAAACGAAAACCTGCAGTGCGCAAAGCTTACTTATTTTTCACTGGGGCACTCGTAATCGACACTAGACTTACTTGCAAACATCGGATGATACGTTTTATGTCGGAAAAGGACCACAGCGTCATGTGTCCCATCAGTAAGCCGGACTCGTCGTTCACATAACTGTAACCTGTTCGCGGAGACATAAAAAAAAAAAAATCGATGGGTCAAAACAAGACCAAAGTGCCGAAGCGAAAACCTCTCAACGTTGTGCATTACCTTTGATCTGGTTTTCGGGATCGTCCATCAGACTCTCACCGATCAGTGCGTGCACGCGTGCCATGTCCGCTGACGTGTACTTGTACGGGTCGAATCGGCCGGCGCACGAGAACATCACGCATCTGCCAAACTCGTCTCGGCCGGGCAACGGGACCAGGTACCTAAACACGCATCGCGGTTATAACCACTGCTTATGGTGACCAAAATCACCCGACTTACCCGCTGTCTAGTATGTCGGATATGACCGGGTCGTCGACGTCTAGTTTGGAGAACCATTGCGGATACAGTTGTCTGATTACCAAGTATCGTTCCAGCATGTCTTGCGCCATTGGGACGCTGAATTTTTTTGTTCTCAAAAATCGCAAAAGGAAAGGTGCATCTGTATAAGAGATATTTAACTGATTAACTTATTTTTAAGTTGCATCAGGACGTAAGTATGTTTGATATTTTTGATCGATTTCAATATCACATACCAATGATAATAATATCATCATTGGACGTTTTGAAAGTGCACCAGTCAAACGTTTAGCAAGATATAAGTACTGTGAAATAGTTTTAGCGCCGTACGGCGTTAGAACGTTTTCCGACAAAAGATTGCATAACCTACTGAGCGAAGAAAAGTATACGATAACATTCAACATGTCAACGCGTACGAGACATTTTAATTCACGACAAACTATTATATCTGACTTCTCGAAATTTCTCATTTCACTCGAGTAAAATTACATCGTGGTACATGCCATTTTGTTGATAGGAGGGTGAAGGGTCGTAGGCGTGCGATGGCTGTTACCTGTACGGCAGTTTACGATGTCCGGGTGTTTCCTGATCCAGTTTCTCATGGCTCGTAGCGAGTGCGTCCTGATTATATCATCCTCGCGCAGCTCCTGTTTGGCAACCAGCCGCAGATCGTCGGCCAGCGGACATTCTTCCACGGTGTTCTCGTCACTGTCGTAGCCCACGCCCATCGCGATCACCAGTAGTGGCACTACAGCAGCTTGGTAGAAGGCTCTGAGTAGTCGGCTCCGGGGACGGCTGGTTGAGACTGCCGATACAAGTTGGCCGACTCGTCCGGTAATCACTGTGACATACGATCCGTTGTAATATTCGTCGTTACACAATGTGTTATAACAATAGTACGCATAATGCGAAAATATCGAAAAGCGATAGGGTGCGATGGATAAAATGCAATGTTTTGTAGGCATTGTTACGCAGACGAGTGGAACAGGATGTGCAGGACGGGTAAGATTTGTACAAGATTTAGTAGTTGCCCGAGAACGCAGAAAACTCCGATCGTGACCGCATCACGACCAAGTCGGGTAAGGATAAATATAATTCTTTACACCTACAGCGAACGACGCTCCTCTATGATTGGTGGTTTTCAATCCCCCGATAATAGAGTCTGTCAACAGAGGTAATTTCTACTAAAAAGCGTATAAAATGTGCATAGTATATGAATATAAAATACAACGATATTGTTGATTTTGGCACGTGACTCATATCGTTATGAACTGGCTTAAATGTAAAACGTATATGACTACGTGCGGCTCCTACCTGTAGAACCGGACGCACTTTTACAGTTTTAAACGTACCGAACATTCTCACTTCACCCTTCCGCCGTAATCGGCAACGAAACCGAACGGGAACGACTAGTCGACCCACGTAATCGACTTGGGTTCATATTAATACTATTATATATTTACAGCTTGCTACACCTATGAACGCCAGCTGTCGTTTACTTCCTGATCCGGAAGGATTACCCTACGATTGCACAACACACTTGTACGACTGGTTACCATATAATAATTTTATTTACATTTTTTTTTTTCGAAACGATAAAACGCGACCACCGATTGATTCTCGACGTAACCATTTCCCAAGTGTGATGTGAAATAATTTCGTGTGGACGTAAATCGATAAAGCGTGTTCATGGAATAATTTATTTATTCAAAGAATGCCAAAAAATACAAAGGAAAACATGAAATTCTAAGACGTAATAAATCATTAATAATTCAAAATTATTTGATTGAAATAAAACCTCCGCTATCCATATTTACAACCGTGCTTTAGAAATTAGATTATTCGTGCATGTATTACGATGTCGTTATTTGAAGTCAAATTCATTATTCGAATTATGATTGTATATACATTATAATGTAATAATAGTTGAGTTCGTTATGAAAGTAACATTTGCCAGAAACAATTTAGAGTTATTAGAACTATGAACTAAAAATAGAGATATATAGGTATATATATTTTGTTATACGTTTCGAATTCAAAACGCGTTCTATAGAAAATATGCGACAGAATTTAAGATGAGCGCAACAGCCTTCAAGGTCTTCATGTGCATGTGGTTTTTTATAAATTCTACGACTGTCGTGATTAGCCCTTCATTCGTTCATTTTGTAGAACAATATGTAGTTTAAAGGACTCCCATGGTCGTTTATATTAAATCTCTTAATATGTAAATAAACGACCGAAACGTTCACGCTCGACATCCGCGGTATATCTACTCTGCGGTAGAGTATTTTTAGTGAGTAAATAATACACTTAATCGAATCCGAATATAAGGCCTAGTAATTTATATTCTTTTTTACAGTTAAAAGTATTGACCGAAAGCGGAAAATCTCAGACGGTTTTTTTTTTTTTTTTTGAAAGTGAAAAACGGAAAACCACGAACATTAGTTACACACAATGTGTAGTACATTATTATTACATATTGTTACATCAGTGCAAATACTTTCACCAGCCTGACGATAATAATAATTCATTCTTCCGATTGCGGCGTACAAGAGTGAAAAAAATTAAAAATTAAAAAGCAACGAAAACGAACGCGAAGTGCCAGCATAAAATATTATGACCGTAAATTGTTGGTTTTCGTTTGATTATCCATGTTTTTGAGAAATCCGTTTCTCTACCGCGGTGGTTCCTAACCTATTAAGATTATTTGTACATCGGGTTAAATATTAGCTAATAACCCTACAAAAAAAGTGCATGTGCCAGGATTAATGTACAGCCATCATCAGGTTATCGTTCATTGCAGTTCCATTAGACAGATTCATTAAACGGTTATAATTTCTAAACATACGTATTTCGTAAAAAAACATTATATTTTAATTTACATATGTACATGGAGTGTTTAGTAGACAATCGCCAATAATCGATATAACAAATATTATAATAACAAATACATAATATTAATCAAAGGTAATAAATAGGGAACGGATTTTAATTTAGTATAAAATTAAAAATATTTAAATATATATTTGTTTATTACTTAATAAATATTTATTTATAAATGTATAATATTTAGATATTTAAATTGAAAATAACATAGAATTATTAAATAATTAATTAAAAAATATAAAAAAATTAAAAATCTATTCTGAATCATCATAGTCTTCATGTGGGAAACAGTTAGAAACAACATATAGCTTGAAATTTTCAAATGTAAAGTGGCGGCGGTTCGGTCTTAACATTGCTTTGTAACGGCTGAATGACCTCTCCACATCAACGGATGTGACAGGTGCATATTTCATACACATTATTTCTTTTGGAGTGTATTCAATTTCTGAATAATTGTTATTTGAAGTTTTGTTTAATAGTATGTATCTTATTGACATTACAGTATTAAAACCTGTGTTTTTTTCCAATACATTTTTTAATTTTGAATTGGTCAAAACTCCAATTTCTCCAGGAACCCGTTCTAATTGCTTTATGGCCTTATCAACTATTTCTAAGCTCTCCGTTAGTGGCATTTTAGAAGTTTCTAATTTTGAAATAGTATCAACCAAAAATCCAAAATTAGTCGAAATAAATGCTAAATTGTTTTGCAAATTTTTACTGTCTATGAGCTCAACAGTTTTTTTTATTGCCATTGCAGCTTCGGGATCTAAATTTACGACTACGTTTCTAATCTTTTCAAAGTTATTTGAATAATATAATACAGCTGATAACCACGTACCCCATCGAGTTATAATAGGTTCGGAAGGTAGAATTAAATCCGGGTACAAATCTTTAAATGTTTGTATACGACTTGGCGCTTTTAAAAATATTTTTTTTACGTTGGAAATCAACGAATCAACTTCTGAAAATTGAAATCTAATTGTTTCAGCTATACGATGAAAACCATGTACTAGACAAGTTAAATGTATTATTCTTGGATAAAATGTGTCCAACACTTTTCCCGCCTTACACATATACGGCGCGGCGTCCGTTAAAAGTAAAAGTACATTATTGTGTATTACACCATTCGGCCACAAAACACCCATTGCATTATTAAATAATTGACATATAGTTTTGTGGTTGCATTTATCTAATTCTTCACAGCACAATAAAAATGGTTTAGATGGTTCAGTGCTCAATTTTCCTACAATAACATTTGCGATATATCGAACGTCGGCGTCTGTTGTTTCATCTACTCTAACCCAAATAGGGCCATCTCCAATGATATTTTGAATTTTCGAAATAGTTTCTTCATACACCCCACTAACATAATTTTTTCTAAGTGTACTCTCCTCGGGAATTTTATGACCAGTATATTTTTCCATAAAATTTTTAAATGCAACATTTTTCAATTTAAAAAGAGGAATGTCTGAACGTATTAGTGCACGATACAAATCATCATTAAAAACTGACTTACTATTGGTAGATGCGGATGATGTAGAAATACAATTTTGTTGAAATATAAGCTTTCTGTCTTTATTGCCTCTATGTTTACTGGTATTGATGCGCTGAATAACTTGACCACGTTGGTCGATAGATACTGATTTATCACAAGACTGACAGTATAAAACTTGTCCATCACTCCTACAAGTTTCATTCGGAAATTCTTCCAAATAAATACTAATTTTTGACCTTTTTGTGCGAGCTACTTTGGGCATATTTAAATAGTTAACAATATTATATTATACAAACTACACACACGGACTCAATACAAAAATAACGTGATCGAATAACGCTCATACGAATACTGATCGAAAAGTGAACGCATATACTCATATACTGAAATTACTACCTACTACTTAAATAACTAGATAAGATATCGAATCGTTGTCGTTTGATGTCAAAGGTGTACAGTACAGAAACCTAATCGTATCGCAAAATACTAAAATAAAAATGGAAATTCTTCAATAATACAGAATACGTATATTTATTTGTAAAATAATTAAAAAATACACGGAAATTCTACAATATTACATAGTTTATGTATTTATTATTTAAAAAATTTAATTATTCTAAAATATTTAAAAATATTTAAAATAAAATTAGCATCAGATTACTTGAAATTAAATGAAACGTATACATATATCAAAAACTTTCCGATGCTATTATTACATAAAAATATTTATTTAAATTAAAATCCGTTCCCTAGTAATAAATTAATGATAATTGTTATAATAATAGGTATAAGATACATAAAATAAAAATGTGTGTTATCTGTGTTACCCCTTGAGGAGTAATTACCCTCAAGTTGAAAACCGTTGTTCTACCATGATCTTCCTTGATAGCGGAAAAGGTATTCCGAGGACGTGACGTTGGAGACTTAAACGTCGTCGCTGATGGCATATGATGTGCATGGACAGTGAGAAGTTAAAAATAAAATAAAATTATAACGTCAAAATAAAACGAAAGCGACGGTGAACTCGGTGAGATTGCATAACGGCAAACCGGTTTTAACCATGCTGGAGCGGGCGTGTACCTACTGAGAACGCACACCGAAAACGTACTCGGTCGCCGTATATACGTGTGATGTAACGCGCCCACAGTTAGAGTGAAAAATTCAATTTTTATTCTAAATGAAACCGACCGGCGCACGCATGCGCATTCATGAGATAAACAAAAAAATGCATAATTCCGCTGGAACACGTATCGTGTGTGCACCGGGTGTGTTATAAACATTGCTTATACACACATAACTTGTACAATAGAATATTCAGCGCCGTCGGTTTTGTTGAAACTATAGGCGATGGTTTCCTGGATCGGGCGTATTATAGACCACGCACGTACACAACCGAGTGCGTCAGGGGATTCGATGAAAACGGGTTTGTTCGAATAACCGGAGTGGTCAACTGTTCAAATAATGCTTTGGGAATTCCGAACCCTCCGTAGGAAATGCAAAAAAGCTTCACTGCGCTCATTGCCATAATAATTTCGAGAAGTGGAATATAATTGAATTTAAGATTTATTCCGAATCGCTCACCATGGATTGGTGAACATAAAATTCTGTCGTAATAAAAATGATCGTTTCTAATCGAATTATCGCAATGCTTTCGATGAAATTATGGGTTGAAGAAACGATACATATTGGTAGTATAAGTTACACACACGGATCGAATATATATTGAATGACCATTAACTTGTTGTTTCACAATATCTTCAGTTACAGTGTACGTGTGTCTCAACAACAAGAATATAATTATTTTCGTCGACGCAGTAGGAAATAATAATTAAACGAATTCAAATAATGGTCTAAATTGGCAATTGCGCTTTCCCCGCCGAACAATAAAACTCCGACTCCAGGCACACGTGGGCCAAGCCCCGAGATGCATTGTAATATTATTATTTATTATGATAGTAATTATGGCTTGCGCTCGTTATCAATCTACAACGTATGCAGTAAGTATCAGTGTGGGCTTGCATTCGAGTGGAAAGCGTCACGTGAGGCATTTAAATAAAAATAATATTTCATTATCACTTGATAATAATGTTTAACATAATCTCGTTCTTCTTGAGACATTCTTGAGATAGAGAGAGCGAAATGTAACGATCGCGCAGCGACCGATGATAATAAAAAGTAACAAAACACCATTAAGTATCCCTTATCACGTCATGTGCAATAAATAATAGGTTAGATAAATAATTGGTAATATGATTATAAGAAATTAATTTAGCACGAGATAAAAATCGTCAAAGTCACATAGATTTTGCAATATTTGCGTCTAGTGACTCGGTCTTAAGTGTACGCAAAACATAATCGCGCATAACTTTTATTTCTATATATTATATATTTATATCCTAATCTATATCAAATTTTACTAAGATTTTTTCGCATACCGATTATGGATCAGTCGCGAACCAATAATATTACAAGAAATAATTTTAAGTTTGCCTTATCGCTATAATCAATAATATATTGAAATACTAATTCGATCAAATAAACCCGAGCCTAAGTAGTTAGGGAGAACGACGAGGGAGAAGAAGAAGAATTCGATCAAATGTCCATCTTATCATGCGGTTTTCCATGTACCACCAGTTGTTTTTTAGCGTACCAACAGCTGAGAATCTCTGGCCTAAAAGAATCCCTCCCCCTCCCAATCCCAGTATACTACTTGCGATTCACGAGCGTGTGCCTCTAAACGAACGGTCGCAGCTTTTGATCCAAACCCAATCGGGTGGAAACGTCGTGGAATGATTTCCATAGTCGTCGATCGGGCTCGCAGCTCCTACGACAGTCGAAATCGCCCGTCGATTCGAACATAATCTGCTTTTTATACCCGAACAACCTTGTGACCGTTTCCATATCTTTTCCCCTCGCACTATTTATCGTGTTTGCGCGCGCGTGAAAGAGAATTTATTTTTATGGTCCAAGTACACGAAATAGACGACGGCCTCCACCTCGTTTCGGAAATCGCACTTTTCTACACAAGCATTATTATATCGCCCACGTCGACCTATATATTTCTATCACGACGAAGTTAACGGCCCGATACACACTTGCGTTATTTTAACGCAGCGGCGCCGTAGAATTCAATGCACACGTGGCGTGGAATGACGCGAACGGTATATATTTCGACTTTAGCGACTTTAGGATTCACTATGCGATGGGTCTGTGACCAGTGGCGTAGCTAGGTAGAAAAGGTGCAGTAAAAAAAATTGAGCCCCTCTCTAATATTAATTTGATATAAAAATACAAAATATACAGGTCATATTGTTCTTTCAAATGTGAATACTTACTATGAAACGATAAACGATAATAATTAACAAATAATTAATAATTATACAAAATAAAAAGGAAATCCAGTTTAATACTAAAAAAAAAAATTGCATATTGCGTGAATTATTACTATTCTTAAATACTCGATCGTAACTAGAATTTATTTTGAATAAATAATTGCCACGTACTATTTAATTTTAATATTTAATAATTACTATTCTAAATATTCCATAATTAATGTTTTCACAATATTCTACATTTACTGTTATTATTTTCATGCTTGTTCTTTATTAAATTATGTACATTCTTTTCCCTGAAAGTTTTTCATTAAACTACCACGTATAATTTATGTATTATATTTATCAATATTTTCAATTATTTGAAGGAAGTATAGTCTCAGAATTGTCCAAGAATTCCAAGGCCTTTTGTGCTCCAGGGCCCCGGGACACTGCCCCACATTGCCCTATGGTAGCTACGCCACTGCCTGTAACAATGGAGATTTATAAAGGAAAACGACAAATTTTTACTTACCTTTGTCTACGAAAACTAAGTTTTAAAGAAGAAAAATAATAAAAGACAATATTGGGTACACCCGTTTATGGGACTAAGACTCACGAAAGGAATATTTTACACATCGTTTAAAAATTTTTATCAAGACTCCCTTATTTTTTTTTTATTCCTTTCGCGGTAAGTCTCAGTAGCTACATTCCATAGTTCAGCATAGTTTTTTACTGCACCAATCGACGATTCAATATCGATTTCATCACCGTTTCCTGCCATGATTCGGTTAGAAGATGGGTAAGTTTAAATGGCTAACGGAAATTAACGCAAACATGCAGTGTCCATTACAAAACAAAGTACCTACCGAGAGAAACCGCATGTGCGTGCGCGATGCTGCTGCGGCGCGATAACGACTTGCGTGAAAAGTTGCACGCAAGACGGACACGCGTCGTCTCACCGTTGCCGCAACAATGTGTGGAGTAGACGATTAAACTGTGAGTATTGTGTTAAATTAACATGAGTATGCAACGGGTTTAAGTCGACGTAAATTCGAAGGACGCGGATATTGGTCAGTAAACCACACACAATCGAGAAGCTATTACGAATGAGCAACAGACGCGTTTACTGTACATCGTCAAAGTAAAAATCGTAAAAAAAAATAAAGCTTTTAATAAAAATAAATAAATATATAATTGCCTTTTGATTTATTTACCTGGACGTGACGGTATAGTGACGGTGATTCCGAACTGGACGGCTGCTGGTTTAGAAGTATCGTCGAAGAGACGCGCGACCGACCTGGAAAGGATTATCTCCCTTTCTCCTTCCTTCCGACGACGGCTGCACGCGTTCCCTTCCTAAAATGCACGACACCGTATGCTCCGACTTCTAAGATGCGGTACACGTTGTCCCACACTATTACCGATACTCGTGTTTTTACTACAACTGCGCTATTAATGTTAAATAAAAGTATTACCTCTATGTTACATTCGTTGCAGAAAGCTTCTGTGGACGAAATTCAATGAGTGAGTGGTACTATGTTGTATTTATATTAATACATAGGTGCCGTATATATATATATTGTATGTCACCACCGAAGATTTTTAAACATCTGAAGGAACTGGCCAAGGCCGACGATGGCTATTGTCTATGTAAAACATATTTGTTAATACATCACAACTTACATATTATAAACAGTTAATAAATTATATTAATGTACTTGTAGTATTATAATACGTATAAATTATACATATTTTATTATATATATATATATATAATAAATATATTTATATTTTCATTATACATATCGACATGATTCAATAATTATATATATACAGTTTTCAACTTGATAAAATTGAAGAAGGGGTCTGTATTTACTTTAAAAAAAAAGAGCGTCCCCAAAACTTATTAAGTGTTATAACTATAACATAGTAATAGTAAGGGGACGTTAAAATTTCTGAAAATTAGTTGGGGTACCCCGTCCCCTTGCGTCACCCCACAAGTTGAGCACTGTATATATTTGTGTATTGATATAAGTATTAAATGTGTATGTGTAGTTTTGAATCGTCTAACGTTTAGGAACTAAATAAAAAACAAATATTGTTAACTTTTAAATAATAAAACGTTCAACGTGCCACATTTATTTTTACACCATGAAACATGTCGTTACTCTAAGTATTATTTGTTGAGTTATATGCATAATTGTAAATGAGCACACGCACACATACAATAGAAACGCTTGATGACTATTTGTATGTACCTATATATTGCCATATTTGGATGTAGTATTTACATTTTTAATCTAATAAGTTTATTCAGTTACTTTAATTTTCAGTAATATTTTTTTCATTTGACAAATTTACTTTCGTGCTTAATACAAGATTATGAGACAGAACACATTACTATGCAAACTTGGAAACATTTTTGAACAAGTTTATATGGTAACTTCAAGTTTTACACAAAAACAGCGGTAGTTATATTATATAATACAGTTTTTTTTTTTTTTATCAAAAGAATTAGTTTTAAGAAAAAAAGACTTTAGAGGTTTAGTAAAACTAATCTAGAACAATAATCTCCCGTTACACGTAAATTATGCATCTCGACGAAGTAATACACTAAAATCTAATGAATAGAGTACTATAACGGGACCAACGCAGGACTATAATATTGTTGTTGACAGTCAAATACGTATTATTATATTTAGTAAAACGGATTTGTATGTAATCACTCCACCCATTACTCAATCTAAATTAAATAATTCATATACACACAAAAAATTTGATATTATAACTACAGATGATTTAAAAGCTTTCATAAAACTAAAAAATGGTTCATCTCCTGGGTTTGACGAAATTTCATCTGATATTTTGAAAAAACTTAATAAAATATTGTGTAAGCCTTTATGACACATTTTCAATTTATGTATATCTCAAAATCAAATACCTCAGGTTTTCAAAGTTTTCATAATCACACCAACTCTTAAATAAGGTCCCACAACATCGTACATTAACTTTCGACCAACCTCTATAATTTCAAATATAGCAAAATCATTCGAAAAAGTAATAATATAAAAGAAGTTAATGAACTAATTGGAAACGAATAATATTCTCTTTAAAAATTAATTTGATTTTAAACCGGGGAAAGGTCCAATGTTGTAAGACAATTTAAATATCTAGGTATCGAAATATGCTATGATATTAAGTGGAAAAATCAAATCCTAATGGTCTGTAATAAACTGAAAAAATCGATTTATTTTAATGTTTACAAAACATTTACGATATTCTACCTATTAAGAATAATAGATTAACTTATTAAGCATTTATTGAATCTCAAATCACACACGGTATAAAAATATGAGGTGAAACCTATAATAATATTCTTAATCAACTACAAACTTGTCAAAAAAATACTATAAATATCCAACTGAGACTTTGTTTATAGAGTATAACATTTTGAATATTAAAAAAATATATTTTAAAATAAGTAGTTTGTAAATTTAAAAAAAAAAATTATCGTATCCTTTGAGCCATAATGTTAATACTAAGTATGTACTAAACAAACACTTTTAACTCTGGTCAAAGAAAAAAAAAACTGCTTGTCGAGATGTTTTCAATATTGTTGGGATTAAATTTGCATATTTATTTACTACTAAATAAATATGCAATTACCACTACTAAAAAGAAAATTTCACACTATCTAATATATGAATACGACGCTAGTAATAAGCGTGATTTATGTATTCACGTATCTATATCATATATAATTTGTATCCCATTTTATTTTTTTTGTCTTTAAATATTGTATATTGTATTATTTAAATTAGTTGTGTAAAATTTATGTATGAAATATATATTAAGATAAAGATAATCCTCGACTTCCATCCAAGTTATTTCATTGAAGCCTAGTAATCTGTGAAAAGATTTTTAGTAAAAATTAAAACAAAAAAATTAAAAATTAAAACCTCTGAGGTACATGTTAACCATAGTTAATTTTTAGCTTCTAGAAAGCCTTTGAATTTTCTTTTGTGATTATACAACTCTGACATGATGTGTTCCTGTGTGCTACCGTTATTATTATTATTACGCTAATGCTAGTTCAACAGGGTAAATTTCGGTAGGTTCGCAACGTATTATACGAATAGGAACATTTGGACGTAGAAACATAAATTATATGACACAATACATAGTGCCTACATGATATAATATAATACTATTTTTATTTTTTCGACGGCCAAATGTCCTAGATCGTATGTTGTACAAACTTGCCCGACCATATCATATTTACGAGTTACGTTCCAGATAAATCAGCTGATAAAAAGTTAGAAAAATCGCATCTATAGAATTATTATCATAATATAATAAATTTATAAGAAATAGCTTATGAATTTTATGTTATATTTTATACCAGTGTAGGTAAAACATTGTGATTCCTGTTGGTTTTACGGCTTTTTGGTGTATATTAATATTTGTAACGGAATCGAAACAGACGAGTAATAGAAACCCACGTTATGTAAACACTATATAGCGCACCGTTAGGTATATGCATTATAATGATAATACTCGAAAAAATAAATACGTGTGTCATCTGTGAACTGCGATGAAGTTACGTGTGCCATTATTGATGTGAAATTAAAAAAATAGCACGCCGATATGAAGTAACACACAGAATAGCTGCTGCGATATTCATACGAAGCCATCAATAGTTGGGCGTTCGATGTTTATACAAAAAACAAGACATCTGTACAATACGGTTACGTTTATTATAATATTATGATTATTATTGCGCATCTGATTTATTGTCTTAGCGTTTATTAGTCTCTCGAGAAGTATATACGCATGTATATTGGTATTCCATAATAATAATACATACACATACACATACACACACACACACACACACACACACACACACACACACACACACACA